TTCCACAGTTTGGGTACTGGCACGAAAAGCACTCACCAGTAGACATCGACCTATTTCCAAAACTCATCACATCCGACATACCAGCTATACTAGGCGCATAACCTCCTCCTCCTCCAGCCATTCCTCCGCCTCCTAACCCAGGCACCTCACGCTGACTCTGACTTATCGAATGCGCATGACTCAACGTAGCCAACCTCGCTCTTGTGTCCGCGCTTAAATTAGAAGCGTTACCCAGAGCGAGGTTGATACCGCTTCCGTTTCTAGACGTTCCTCCACTCCCGCTTCCACTGGCACTACCTCCACCGGGACCAGCGCCGGGGTATGGATGACTAGCGACTGAGTAGGGAGCATTAGAGTTATTGGGAAGGGTCTCGTCTTCTTCGATGATCCGCTGAGGAGGGCTTCCTGCTCCTCTTTGGTTGAAAGAGTCGAAAGAGGCTGGAGTGCTCGCTATAGGAAGGAAGACATAAATTTACTCAGTCCTCAGGTACAAAAACAAAAACAGGAAAGAAAAGAAAGTTAACTCACGAGGCTCCCCAACTCCCCTTCCCTGACCTTGATTCTGTATAATCAAAGTCCTCCTCCTCCTTGGCATCAACGAATTCGGATGATACCTACTCCCACCCATAGCTCCAGACCCCGAACTCGAAATACTCTCTCGATCACTAACACTCATCCCACTTCCATACCCCGAATTTGAATATCCACTCATCATACTCGCTCTCGATCCTGCTGGTCCCATACCCATACCCATGTTATTACCCATTCCAAGGGACATGCCACCTTGGTTCATACCCGCCATCGCTCCAGGTCCCAATCCTCCTCCTCCTCCGTTATTACCCGTCATAGGTACGGTAATAGGAGGTGAACCAGCCCTGTTTGGTACTTTCAACGGTTGTACAGGTCTCGAAAACGATTCCGACAACGCCGGTGAAGGTAAATTCGAGTAAACGTTCGCTCCTAAACCATACATCGTCGTTGTCGTTGTCACTGGCGGATACGAAGACGTAGGCGAAGGTTGTGAAGAAGAAGGCCCTACCGCAGACCCCGGGGTGGCTACTGCTGCTGTCGTCATTTGCGTTGGAGGCATGGTAATGTACTGAGCAGAAGTCGTAGGTGAAGGTGATGCTGAAGACTCAGAAACAGCCGAAGTAGACGCAGTAGCTGCTGAAGTAGAAGCAGAGGCAGAGGTAGAGGTAGTGTTCCTACTCAGACCAGGTAAACTGCTACCACCACCAAAAACGCCAGAAGAGGTAGACGAAGGACTAGCGGCTTCGATTTGGAATGTCGGTGTCCCTTGACCCTTTTCGCGGAGTTCCCTACTGAATAAATCGGGTGCAGATGTTGCAACTGCTGAGAACGACGGAGGTGGTGATGATGTGGAAGAGTTGAGGGATATAGACCTGACTGGTCCATCTGGGCGAACTTCTTCCACGGAAGGTAGCGAAGGCGGTTTAGATTCCAATTCGTACGCTGGAGGACCAGAAGAGACGGAGTGGAGGGAATCTCGACGAGCGACTGTTCAAGTTTAAGTATTAGTATAAGTGCCGTGACTAGGGAGAGAGCGCAAATGTTTGGGGATTCGACGTTTACAACCAAGCACTCACCAGGATTAGGCGCATACACCCCTCCTCCTCCCGTTCTTCCAGCATTAGCACCAGCACCGCCGCCTCCACCACCACCACCAAAATTATTCCCCCCTGCACCCCACATCCTAACGACAATATCAAAACTAGGTCTCAACCTCGGTTCTTTATCCCAACTCTCCTCTATCACACCCCAAATCACATCCGTCAACCCTACTCTAACACATAACGCATGATCAGGTCTATCAGGACGAGCATTTTCTTGAACTATCGAACGATAGATGTGTTTTTCGGAGAGGACGCCGAAAGGTTGTGTTGAAGTGAATATCTATGAAGATTTCGGCAGAAGGGAATAGAGGGGATTGGGTGAGTCGGAAGTTTTTGGGATTAGTTACTTGAGCCAAACTCACCTCCAAAGCACACATAGCAAACGCAAAAACATCAGAAGGTTTTGATGTCGTCTGTTATTAGACAAATATAGATAAATTGTTTTTAGTTTTTCGTTTTTGATTTAGTTCACGGATCCGGAAGATATAGAGAGGGGGGAAAGGATAGAAAAGGAAAAAGGTAGAAAAATTTTTTGGGTTAGCGCATGAATAAATCAAACTTTATTGCTGGGAGCGGGAGAAGAAGAGAGAGAGAGAAAAAAGGAAGCAAGTAAACAGAGCGGGTGCGATAGCGTAAAGGGGCATGGGATCAAGGAGAAAAAGATTGGGTGATTGATCACCGAAAACAAACAGAATTTGATAAGGTAGAACATGGACAAGACGGAAGGAAAAAAGAAAAGAAAAAAGAGGAAAACCGTAGAAAAAAAATTGGATTAGTGCATGAACGGATCTAACTTCATGCTGGGAGCGGGAGAAGGAGAGCAAGTAAACAGAGCGGATGTGATAGTGAAAGGGGCATGAGATCAAGAAAAAAAGATGGGTGATGATCACCGGAAACAAACAGAATTTGATAAGATAGAACACGAACAAGACGGAAGGAAAAAAAAAACAGACAAAAGGATAGGATAGGATTGGATAACCCAGCTCAAGCACCCATTAAAAAGAGTAGACAATACGATACAGAACAAAAAAAAAAAAAGAAAAAAGAACCAAAACAAATCAACAAGAAAAGAGAAAAAAGTTGGCGTTACTCACCCCTTTCCAAGCTTCCGGACTGAAATACCTATGATTCTCACTATTCTTGCTCGACTGGATCTCTGTGACACCGTAATCTGCTATACACGCGTGTCCGTCTTCTTTTACTAGGATATCGGATGTTTTTAGGCCACCGTGGATGATGTTGCGCTATGTGAGAGAAGAGGAAATCCCGGATTAGGATGAGCGAAGGGTGAAGGGTGAAAGAGGAAGGGAGGTGAGCAGTGACTACAACTACTCACGGAATGTAGGTATTGCATCCCAAGTGCGACATCTAGTGCCTATAGTATAGAGTAAAAACAACAATCGTTATCCGTTAGCACGTTTCTCCTTCCAAACGCGCCCTAGTAAGCCCACAACAACGCAACGCACCAGTTGAGGCCTATCGGCATTTGGATTCTCGTCTAGATATCCTTTTATATCTGCATTCGGATGAAGTTCTGAAACGATAAACAAAGGGTCTGCGTCTTCGGGCGATACACCGAATATTCGGAGTACGTTAGGGTGTTGAAGGGTTTCCCAGATCGAAGAGCGTTGGATGAGAGGCTTTATAGGTACATGCAAGTTATAGGAAAAGTTTGTTATCTGGATTGTTCCGGGAGGGCAAAGAAAACGCAGAGATACAACGCACCTGAGGCGAAGCGTCTTGAGACAAGACCTTTATCGCGACGACGTCGTTGCCCATAGTAGCTTTATACACCGTCTTTGTCCTTCCTCGCCCTAACGGCGAGCTTTGGTCGACTTGGACATCCTCTGGACGTATCATTCTCGGTGATATTTAAGATCAAGTAGCGTTTTGGTTGTAGAAAAAAGTGGGCGAAGAGAGAGAGAGAGGGTATGTCTAGTAGCCTTGTGTTTCTTGGCAGTGCGTTTAACAATGGCCGAACGCTGTGTGTTGTCCTAGTCCGAGTCCAAACCCGTCGTTTGTCGTCGTTGGTGTCGCCGAAGTCGGTGTCGTTATCGTCGTTTTGAACCGACGTGGCCAAATGGTACGGGGAAAAAAGCGCGGGCGGTGGTGGGTGCAAGTAGACAACAAAAGTAGCCATCATCGTATCATGAGATCATATATCATAAAACCCGTATCGTAATTCCTATTGTGTCAAAAAAACGGTCTGGTTAAATTTCCCGTCTCGGATCCTATTTTCGGATGGGATCAGGAGGGAAAATATCGGGCGCTATTTTTCTTATTTCTGGGGAAAAAAAAAACGCCATTGCCCGTCTACTATTCCATTAAAAGATAAGTCCTACAAACCCGGGATCTGCGAGCTGCGCAGTGCGATCCAAGGTACTCCAGCTTTGACCCATTCATCACATAAGTGCAACTCTTGATATTCTTTCACATCGATGTAAAAGGATTTTAGTAAACATCCTGGCTAAAAAAACAAACTTCAATCTCTTCCCTCGCCTACTACAAATAAGTTCTCTAAACGCTGTCTACTTACCCTTCGCCTCACACGAAACTCAAGCACAAATTTTTCCGGTACTTCCGCGCTTCCGAACACGGGCGCTCGCTTTGATTATTCATGTCAAGCTGTCAAACCCATAATGATTGTCCGGGCCCGTCAGCTCATTACAGTCATTCAAATATTGATTTACTCTTGGCCCATGGGGGCTCTCAAACCTTGAGCGCTTGAGCTTTCCCAGCTCCCGAGCATATCGAACTTTTTCCGCTGAAAGCGATGTCGTTTCATGCTTAAGTACAGCTACATAGTTACACTGGCCAGTGGCGAAAAATGCTAATTCCCCTTACCAAAATATGGTACTAATTCTGAGCTAAATCTTTGGCTAGATCACCCCCTTCGACACAAACCTCACTGCATTTGGCCATTTGAGTGGGTGGTTCCCTTCCATGATCTAACCGACATGAGTCAATAATGCCAATATTTTCGAGTAAGCAGCCCTCGGGAATATTTCCCTTTGCTTAGGGGAGCCACTTCATTTTTCGCCACCGCTAGTATATTTATGCCGCATACTTGGATGGCGATGAACTTTTTCCAAGCCCCTTCGGCCCCTTGAATTTATGACCAAGTACACATGAGTCTCTGACACTGGATCCGGAGCTTATACTTATTCCACAAATTCACTGTCCTTTTGAAGTATCCCGTTCTTTCTTTCCCGAGATAAATCTAGAACCAATCTATGTGCCTAGTTTACCAAAATACCTATGCATACGTACTTATATACATAGCTATACTTACTCTCAAACTAACCAGCCTCTCTTAGATCAACCTGTACTTTTGAATAATCCCGAGACGATCCAAATTTTAACGACTCCCTGGTAGTATATCGGTTAGTACACGCGCCTGTCATTGAAGCGGTCCTGAATAATCTGACGCGCGAAAGCTGGGTTCGACTCCCAGCCAGGGAGATTAGCAAGTATGTGTCTTTTCCTCTTTGCTTTGTTAACTTTTTCCTCATTTTTCATTTGACCCAGTCCCTGTGTCCTTAACAGTAGTACGGGAGCCAGTCAGTATCCACACTGCCACCCTACTTATGTAATCTACTCACCAAGAATCTGAATGGCATAGTGATCTGTAAATGTAAGAGTGTCCGTGAATCTCTAATCATCAATCTTGTTAAAAGAGTGCTCTCAAAAATCTCTGTGATGGAAATGCTGAATATGCTGAAACGAGCTGTCCGAAATCGAAAAGTCGCAGCCTAACAAAGATAGATCACGTATAAAGTCACAGACATCCGGGGACTCACACGCCTCCTGGGCATGAAGTAGACACAAAATCTATCGGAGGACAGAGAAGATCTCGTGAGTAGGACTTCAAAGTATATTTACGTCGCGTACTTGGGTGGCGATGAACTTTCTCCAAGGCCCCCAAGTCTCTTGGATGTAAGTATGACCAAGTAGTAAGTACACATGAGTATTTGACACTGGATCCGGTCTATAACTTCACTGCCCCTATCCCGTTCTTTTTTTCCCGAAATAAATATAGAACCAATCTACATACTTATGTGCTTAGTTGACTAAAACACCTATGCATACGTATATAGCTATACTTACTCCGAAACTACCCAACGTCTCTGAGATCAACTTTTACTTTTGGTGAAGGATAAAACGATCAGTGTGTCAATAACTCCCTGGTAGTATATCGGTTAGTACACGCGCCTGTCATCCATATTGCTTTGGCACCAATCAGTCCCGCGCGAAAGCTGGGTTCGACTCCCAGCCAGGGAGATGGACTTATTGCAAGCTTTTTTAAATGATTTCCACGATGCCAACGATCAGGAAGAAACTTTTATTAACATAAACTTTCATACTTACTATACGATACGTTTAACTAACACCCTTCTCCTTGACCATTTCCATTCACTCTACATAAGCATCATACGTATTCAGAATAGATCCGAAACTTCATTTCAATTATATTACAGTTATTCAAAGTAAAGACGAGATTATTCAACGAATTAATCTTCAACCTCAACGTGTTGGAACGTTGATTTGGTGCTCTCCCATGTTTCACCAGAACGCCGGACAAATCGACATTTGAACTCTTTGGGATGACTGGCAAATCTTTAGTGGAGTACTGATTTTTAAAAGATGGATAGAATACCTGATCATTCCCTCAGTATACGCAATCTCTGCTTCAATCTCCTTTCCATCACGATCGATGGCTTTCTTGATGTTAAAAGTGGCTAAAATACAAGCGATCGCGAGCCATGCAGTGTCAACGGCAAAAGGTCGACCAGGGCATTGACTGATCCCATGAGTCAGAATTCTTAGAAAGCTTACTATTACGATGGATGCAAACAGAAATGCTCACCGTCGACCGTATCCAAAAGCATACAAGAGGGGACTGGGAGGAAGTTCTTCTCCTTCTTTCTTAATAAACCGTTCGGGGTTGAATTTGAAGGGATCGGGATAGGCACGTTCATCATGGAGAATTGCCCTTTGAACATTCATGTTAAAATAATAACACAGGATCATGGAAAACAAAACCCACCAGCTGTTTGCAACAACAGTAGTTCCTCAAAAGACGGTTTAGCAATCTCAAAATATAAAACCCACTTATGCTTACCCTTGGGAATAAAGTAACCTTCATAAACATCATCTTCGATGGAATGGTGCGGTACCGCTGAAACACAGTGAAGAGTCAAAATTTAGTTTGTAAAAGGGAGCAAATGTTAGACCTAAGGGAAGTGACTGATGTATCCTCATGCCTTCGTTGAGAACGGCCTCAAGGTATGGAAGATTCTCCCTGTCTCCGAAATCAGGTAGTCTTGATGCTCCTACGACCGTATCAAGCTCCCTTTGAGCTCGGGCTTGTACATCCGGGTTATGAAGCAGCGACAACACAGTAGATAGGAGTAGAGAGACTGTCTAAAAGCAATGGTACATCTTGTTTTAGAATCTTACCACATTTTAGGAAAATAGATGAAGCTTGTATACCGTATCAGTTGCAGCTGCGAGGTGTTTGGGTGCGTGGTGAGAAAATTTCGATTGAATGATAACTTAGAATTAATATCTACCCAGATAAGCAAAACTGGTGCAGTTCTTGATCACTACTTCCATCTCCTTGTCGTCTTCCTTTACCTTCTCGAGGTTTTCCGTGGCAAAACAGTCGAGTGCTGTTCCCGCGGCCTATATTCTCACAATTTTCAACAAACAGCTGATGCATGTAAGTATATTAAACGAGGAACAGACTCACAATTGAAGTTCGGAGCTTTTCCCAAGGTTCATCTCTCAGTTCTGTTGCAGATTGGGTCCATGCTTTAGCTTTCCGTTTGAACTCGGCTCCAGGAAACCATGCTATAGAGATCATCAATAACAAGTGAGCCACATTGTATGAAATTGTGGATAAGGGTTAGTGAAAACATACACGGAACCCATTTCAACAAAGGCAAGTAATCTACCAGAAAGTTACCGTGGTTTCCAGCATAAACGATCCCAAGTATAGCTCGATTCACAAGGTTGACATAGTGCTCTTGATCTTCTTGAGTGGTGATACCATATGTGGCACGTAAGATGATAGATCCCGCATAACTGCACACCAGTTATTTTAGATTGAATCCCTTGACCCCAGAAGCTGTAAACATGACAAATGCTCACCGTTGAAGAGGTCCTTTGAATTCTGTTTCTCCATCCTTTGATGACTTCACCAAGCTATCCAGTAGTTCTGAAATAGCTTTTCTCTGGAAAGGATGAAACTTGGCAAGGGACCTCGGTTGGAAGTATTGGTGGAAAGTTTTACGGTGGAGCCTGGTTTAATGTTAGCTTGCCTCTATATTCTAGGAATCACCAGAAAATCAAGCCAACCTCCAGTAGTCACAATATCTCATATCTGAATACATTTAAATTGAATACTTAGTAGTGGTAGCGATCTTGTACGAGCCTATCACTTACGACCGAAGTTCCAATCCCATCTGCAAGACATCATTGTGCGATTTGAGCTAAGCAAAAGACTCAGGGTATATTGCTCACCCGCAAAGTCCATTTAACATATGATATGCTGCAAGTAGAATTATTTTTCAACTTCGAGAAATCAAGAAGAAAGAATTACCTGGTCTGTCCGAATAAATTCCGGAGCGCTTTTCCAGAAGCTCATTAACGGCGTTTGCAGAGTTGAGAATTACCATATGATCCCCTAGCACACTGATGTGAATTACATCAGAGTTGAATTTCTTTCCTAAGTCTAGATATTTCTTCCAATCGGGTTCATGGGCTTCGGTACTGCTGCTATTGGAGTATAGGACAGAATCAAGAAGAGTTCCAATGATTGGGAGACCTTTGGGCCCAGGTGGAAGGGGAAACTTAAATCTTTGGCTATGAACAAAGCGATGATAGAGGTAGAAGAGAAAAATGGGAACGACCAAGGTGAAGTGTAATGAAGTGAAGCTAGGCATCAGTCCGTACAGCACCTAGAGGGGTGAGATGAACCTGTGAAAGTATAGCGTGAAATCATTCGCTTATAAACAGATAGGTCCTCAAGAATGATAAATTCGTAAGATGGGTTCAGGTGACTAAATTTATACAGACTACTCAAGGAAAGTGTCACTGCTACGAGCAGTGGCGAAAGCTAAAGGTCCTCGTAATATAAATTATAGAACAGTCTGGTGACCTGCGTCTTCCTAAAAGCGAAGACACATTCAAAAGTGTCTTAAATCTAATTGTAAAAATAAAATATGTTCAATTTAATTTGACTATACGTAGCCTGATAACGAACAGGATCCCCATAAAACCTTTCTGTTTCATGTCAGAGCAATATCAATAGTATGCGTCACCTTTTACATAGTATTGAAAGCGATTACAACTTCCATATCGTTAAAATCAAACCTAGTTCTCTGGTATGGAGTTGTCCAAGTTGAATTTATCTATCAATCTTTTTCAAATGTAAATGCAATACTAACTGGCGTCTGTGGCACTCAATAAATTTTTGAAAGCGAAGCCTGCTCAGCTAGTCTCATATCACACCTTAGACCCCTTTCTATAAACTAATAAGAAAGTAATTTAAAAAAGAGGAATTATTTATGACATGCCGGTTGTTATTACTCTTCAGTCTCAACATGATGGAATGTTAATTTGATGTTCTCCCAGGCTCCAGTAGAACGCGGAACGAATCGACACTTGAAGTCCTCCGGATGACTGCAAATTTTTAAATCCTGATAATCGAATTGAGAAAAATGATGAAGTACTAACCTGACCATTCCCTTAGTATACGCAATCTCTGCTTCAATCTCTGTACCATCTTGATTGATGGCCTTCTTGATGTTGAAAGTCGCCAGAATGCAGGCGATTGCGAGCCATGCATTGTCGAGGGCAAAAGGCCGGCCAGGGCATTGACTGATTTCATGAGTAGGAATTCTGACAAGCTTATCGCAAAGGACCCAGACAAAAATACTTACCGTCGGCCGTATCCAAAAGCATACAAGAGGGGGCTAGGAGGAAGCTTCTCTCCTTCTTTCTGAACAAAACGTTCTGGGTTGAATTTTAAGGGATCAGGATACGCATGTTTATTATGGAGAATCGCCCTGAGCATTGAAAATTTATGTCAAGATGATAAGAAAGAGTGACTCAAGAAAAACAAAACACACCAGCTATTTGCAACAAAAGTGGTCCCTTGAAAGATGAATTGGCAATCTCAAATATGAAAGCCGAGGTTTGCGCTTACCTTTGGGAATAAAGTAACCTTCGTATACATCATCTTCGATGGAATGGTGTGGTACCGCTGAAACAAAGTGAAGTGGTGAAGTTTAGTCTGCTTCAAAGTTTGGGAGAGAGAACAGTCAATAGTACCTAAGGGGAGGACCGGATATATCCTTAGGCTTTCAGTAAGAATAGCCTCAAGATACGGAAGATTCTCCCGGTCACCAAAGTCTGGTAGTCTTGATGTTCCTACAACTGTATCCAGCTCTCTTTGAGCTCGGGCTTGTACATCCGGATTATGGAGCAGTGATAATACAGTAGATAGGAGTAGAGAGGCTGTCTAAAAGCATTGATACACCTTGTGTCAGGTTCTTCGCACATTTTAGTAGCATGGACGAGGCTTACCGTATCGGTTGCGGCTACAGGACATCAATACAAGGTGAGAAACTCGAATTTAGATTGATCCGATAATTTAAGATTACCCTTACCCAGATAAGCAACACCGGTGCAGTTCCTGATCATCACTTCCATCTGGGTGTCGTCTTTCTTTGCCTTATTAAGATTCTCCGTGGCCAAACAGTCGAGTGCAGCTCCCGCTGCCTATTTCAATGAAGAATACACTCAATAATAACTGATATATACATTCGAAGACGAGTAGACTCACAACTGAAGTTTGCAGCTTTTCCCAGGGCTCATCTCTGAGTGCTACTGCAGATTGGGTCCATGCTTAGCTTTCCGTTTGAACCCGGCTCCAGGAAACCACGCTATAGAATTTATTGATAGCCACCAAGTCACATCAGTATGAAGGTGAAAGCAGTGTAGTGAGAACATACATGGTACCCGTTTCAAAAATGGCAAGTAATCTACCAGAAAATTTCCATGGCTTCCAGCTTGAGCAATCCCAAGTATAGCCCGATTCACAAGGCTAACATAGTGCTCTTGATCTTCTTGAGTTGTAATGCCATATATGGCACGTAAGATAACGGATCCCGCATAGCTGTATACCAGTTATATTGAATTTCTCAGAAACTGTAGAAGTGTCGAATACTTACCGCTGAAAAGGTCCTTTAAATTCTGTTTCTCCGTCCTTCGAT